TGTTTCGTATGTTATCAGCTGTACTCACAGGCCCTTGAGGTTCTTAACTCCCTCAAAAATCTTGTCAGGTAAAGCCTCGATTCTGTTCTCTGAGAGATGTCTTAAACAGGTAAGGGGGAATTTAAATTAATATACAAGTAACATAGAATAACAAGGCATGGGACATCTAATTTAAACAGCAAAACTGATATCAAAATTATACCACAATTATATAGATCTGGTGACAAATATTGTGATCCATTTATTATAGAGGCTAGTACTAGTAGAGGATACTTACTATATTTACTAATGAGGTCTTCCCTATTATGGCTCCTGATTTTCTATTCAACTAATATCTGTGCAAGTTAATTTCCTTAGAAAATTAATCGCATGGCCATTTTAATCCAAACCTTTGCACTTAAACTCAATATTTATAGACTCAGCTAAATTGAAGCCATTTTTTTCTTTGTTCAAAAAAGCTCTTTTCCTTTTAAGTTAACTTTATCATTGCGGCTCTATAATCTGAAGGACGAATATGAATAGAAATCTCATTAATGCACATGAGCCGTTTATCGCTTAAACGTTAAAATAAAAAACCTTGGTAATATATGATTATCATGCACTTCTTCGGGTATCACCTCTCTCCATTTAAACATGGTTAGTTTGTAAACATTTTCTTGTCAACTTTTATTCACTGAATTAGTTTTTTTTAAAATTCATATAAATGGGCTGGTTCTAAAATATGCTTTAGATTACAACAGATCATGATGAAAAATTAACGTTTAAGTCTAAATGTACTCACAACTCGAACATCTCCACTAGGCCCTGGAATTGATCTGCATGAAGCCTCTCAATTTTGTTGTAGTCCATATTCCTAAAAAAGTGCGTTGTAGATGTTAGACTGAAATACACACATGAAGGAATATCTTTAAATCTACTTTTGTCTTAATAATCTTTTGAATTTAATGCAGTACAATTAGATCCCGGGTTTGATATTTGAATATCACAGAAAAAAAGAAAACTTTAGACCCACATGAAACTTTCATGCTCTCAGGCTAGAGAAACTTTAGATTTTATTACCAGAAACCTCTGCTTCAGGTCTGTTGTTTAAAGCTGAGTTTGAAAAATCGTAAGTAAGCTATTACCCATTTGAAAAAAAATTATTTAGGTTGCTTCAGTATCTAAGTCAACAAATTATAAGCCGCTGTAGCAAAATATAATTGCAAGACAAAAAAAATTTAGCAGCTTAAAATAAATAGGAAATGTAAATTGCTATAAACTAGGAAGCCGATTTACTCGCTTATTGCTGTTATTGCAAGGTGATTCTTAGAGACAGCTTTTTTTATTTATCTTAACTCAAAGAGAATCTCACTTACAGAAATCTCACAGCTGTAATGTTTTTAAAGACGTATGGCGGTAGATTTCCAAGTTCATTATTTGACAAATCCCTAGAGTGTAATAATAACCGTAGTTACGAATCTATTATCATGAAATTAGCAAT